TAAAGCTGTGAAACTGATTTTATTTTTTTTTCTTTTATTCTTTAAATACTGTACACATTCTCCTTGATATCTTAGGGTGTATCGCATAGTTTAAAATTTTCATTAACTTTGTGAAATCAGAAGCTAGGAGCTTAAAACTTTAACCTGAATAAAAGGCCATAAACATGCCTTAAGAAATGAAACATATTTAAAAATAAGAATAATACAATTAACCAGTTACCTTAGAAAATACGTGCAATGCTTAAATTTTCATGACTCATAGCCATTTTGTCAATTTCCCAACAATTTTTCACCCCTGAACCAACGTGATGCAACCACTTACGTCCTGCTCCCTAATTACTGAACGTATAACATTCTTAGCGCATTGTGACAAGAGAAAACAATCCATACACCCATTCATCCATCTAAATCCTAACCAGTTTAAGCATCGATGCATGATTTCTGCAATCATCTACCCATACATATACCCATCTACAAATGCATACATCCAGCAGTCAACTCACCCATCCACTCACCCAGCTCACATGCATGTATCATCTAACACGCATGCATCCATATATCCATGCAAACATCCATTCTATAATAATTAGAACCTAATGTCTATTCAGCTTAATAAATCAAATATTCTTTGCCAGTAGCTTATATAAATGTGTTTTTACATTCACATAATTGTACTTTTTTATCATAGTTAAATAATAAATTGGTAAAAATAAAATATCACTTTAAAATCAAGTTTAAATCAATTCACACTATATATATAATAACAAACAAACAAACAATAAAAAATTAGTATTAGACCTTCATACCACAATTTTGATACTTTCTATTTAAATTATTAATTATAGAATATTTAGAAATTTTTATTATATTTTTTATAGTTTTAACATCCATGAGTCTTTTTAAAAATAATACGGAGTCCAAATGATAATGCGATATGCAACAAGAAGTAGTTCATTTATTTTTCAGAAAAACAAATACAGATGTGCTTTCCCTTACACAAACCAGATCTAAAATATATATAATAGATTCTAACATTTAGTACGATTAAAATAATTATCATCAATATAATAAAAATAATAATAATAATGAGAATAAAAAATAATAATAATAATAATAATAATAATAATAATAATAATAAAATAGCATTTCGTATGAGTGGGAACCATATTTGACTCACAGGTATGTGATATAACCTTTGTTTGAGGACAACAAATGCTCAACGCCCGCTTATTGTCTAGCATTGTGCATTGTTGTTTTCGAGAATACATTTTTACAATACAAGTCGATATTAAATTAGTGACCCTCTGGGTCGATGCCATTTTCATTCAAATGTATAATTTGTATAAAACTTTTTAGAGGTCCATTAGGCAATTTATAAGTAGTTAAAATATTGTTAAAACTTCTGGATGCACCAAAAACAATCTCTTCAAATATAATCTCCTTTTTAAAGGGTCTAAACAAATATGTGACAGAAGAGGGACAAAGTTTACATACACTGCCACCACAAAAACTTAATTGTGGCGTCTGTAAATTAACAAAGCAGATTTTCTTCTAAAAATAATTTTTTGTTGAGGTTTTACGGCGCACCTAACAATAAGGGTCTTATGGGGCCGAAACAGGAAAATTTTGATTTTGGGGCTAACCCTTCTGTGTTACGTGTCCTCACCAAAATAAGGAGGTTTCTGATGGTACCCTGTGGAGAAAAATACTTGGACCTGGACAGAGGGTTCTGTAAAACACAAAATTTATGCCGCTTTCAAAATACGGTTTATTTAGCTTTCAAAAAATCGGGGCCCCTCCGCTATAAAAATTTCTTTCAAATGGGACAAAAACGGGAATACCAATAAAAAATGATGAATGACAAAATAAAAAAAATTTGAACAGCATCAAAACTTTTTCCCAAATTTCCCGAAAATACAAAAATTTTATGCGTTTTCAAATAATTTTTTTACTTTCAAAAACCCGGGGCTTCCCGCCTTTCAAATTTTTCAAAATATCCCACATGCTTTTAGTGAAATTTAAAATCAATGAAGTAGAAATAAATAAAAGGGGGCCCAAAAGGGTTGGGAAGTAAAATGATAAAATTTTGGGATGAAAAAATATATTAAAATTTTTAAAAGCTTTTTGGGACTTTAATGGGAAAAAATTTAACATAAAACTTTAACGAATATAAAACCTTTGCCCACAGTTTTAAAATTTAAAAACCAGTTTTCAAATCCCCCCAAACTGCTGGAGTTTCAGAGAGTTTTTCAAATTCATTTATTCCCTTTACGATCAATAGGTAAAGAGGATTCTGATAAAATTTTGAAAATTTCTTTTAAAGGAAAAAGGGGGGAAAAAAGAATATCTTTTTAAAATTATTTTCTTTGTTTTAAATGGACTTTTTTTCTTTCACTTTTATGCCTTTTTTTGAAAAGGGCAAACAATTTTTTTAAAAATGTATTTTTAATTTAAAATACCTTTGCAGCAGTTTTTTTTTGTTTTAAAACCCCAAATTTGCTTCATTTTCCCCTTCCCACGGGTTTTAACCGTACCCAAAATCCAGTATCAAAAAAATCCTTAAAAAAGTATCAGCTAAAATTTTAAACAGTAAAAAACCCTTAACAAAATCAAAAACGGTACACGGGGTAATTGTGTAAATAAAAATTTTAAATTGTTTTAAAATTTAAAGTTTTAAAATTTAAAACAAAAAAAGAAAAAAGTTACTTTTAAAAAACCCATTTTATCTTTTAAATTATACTTTTATAACCAGACAAAAAACTCTAAAAAAATCATTTCCGCTTTAATTTTCGGGGAGCTTTTTATAAACTACCCAAGAACACTCTATTTAATTGAAAAACTAAATACTTGAAATATGACACTAAAATATTACATTCGGGATTGTTGAAGCATAACAACTATGAAATGAAAATCATTTTCAAATGTTATTATGTTTATAACTTTATACTTGAAAAATAGACCAATTTCAATTTAAACACAAAATATGAACTAAACAGATATTATCGAGCGCGACACAAGTTCTTTGATATTCAACAAATTCAATGTATAAATTCAAAAATTCAATATCTCTTTATAAATTACGCACCGTAATATAATTATATAGCTATATGTATTTTTTTTATCACATTGCATACGCATTATAAATTACCTTTTTGTAACTTAAAGTATGAAATAATTGTTTGTTTTACGTTCTTTATACATATTTTTAATGTGACATTGATAAGTACATTTGTACTTATGACAACTGTTATATTCTTATAATTCATGCCATTCAAGTATTTGCCGTTCTCCAAGCGTATTCCTCTAGGATAAATGTTTAACGAAAGAACGGCCGGAATATTTCGAATATCAAGTGAAAAAAATTTCTTTCTCTAATTTGCCACATAACCATCCACATGCATGAGGAGAATTGCGAAAATAGCATCATCCGTGATTGTCTTAAAAATCATACAAGGCTTCCTTTTTGCTGCTTTGATGAATTTAATGTTGATGAATTGACGCGTTTTATGTATATTAGGTACTTTGTTTTTGACCCAAACAAAGAGAAACAGTTCCAATTTTCTTTATTATTCAGTCAGCAAACACGAAATACATTTGATTTCCTCTCTTCTTGACATTAATATTAACCTGAATATTCTGAAAATAAACCATCGGCCAAAAATCCAGGTATTTTAATAATTAACCCGGAAACATAGCAGGTTGGGCAATAGTTGATTGACTGAGGACAATAACTTAAAAATAAACAAAACTCTGAACCTCTTGATGAAAAATGATATATTACATACCCTATATACATGTGAAATATGTTCCTTTCTTTAACATGAGCTCGATTAAGTTCTTTGAATTAAAAGATTGCAATTACATATGATTTCTTTTAAAGAAATCACATAATTATGATGATTATTAAAAGCATTAACCAATAAAATCTTTTCAATAGACAAATTTTTTTATTGTGGTCATAATACAGTAAATTGCTCCAAATGCAAATCAGTCAAATCCTTCAAATGTTTCAAAATGTCATGACTCTTTTTTAAACTTTGCTGTCGGTCCGTCTACAGTATATGCACTCGGTTTCAAGATGACAGTATATAAATACTGTATAGGTTTGTGAGTGACAGAAAAATTATTAAAAAATAATGCCCTTTTTGTGCTTAAGTGTTCGCCAGAGAACAAAAATTGTTCTGTCATAATTGTCAAACGCAGAACATATTAAATATTATGCGCATAATTAATATAGTTAAAGTGTAAAATGCTTCTTTAGACAGTTAAGTATATAAAAGTTATGTTTTAACGTTAAGCATTCACTATATCAAAACCTAATAAATGGAAACATTCCCTCGAGGCCTAATTTAATAATTTTGAAACGAATTTTATGGGAATGACTTCATTATCTGCGCATGATTCAAAGAAATTTTGATCACCCATTTCCACAAGTTGAATTCATGGAAAGTAATTGAAAAAAAAAAAAAGAAAAAGAAACTAGTGAGTACAAATTTTCTTTTTTATATTGTTTTCTGCTGTTGTTAACATATGAAAATTCAATTTATCTCTTCATGCGATTAAAAACTCTTTGATGGGTGTCGTTCTGTATTGATTTTTTACGTACCTGTTGAAATATGGTAATACAAATTTTCATTTAAATCCTAAACAGAAACAATTAATGTGAAAAGACTCTCGGGTAAGATCCTAATAATTAAACGATCAAACCTGTTTGTTAATGAAAGAAATCATCTAGATCTCTATCGCTAATAACAATTTTAATAGGTCAATTTGAAATAGAAGGACAAACAAGATCATATAAATCCCTCCTTTGACCTCTTTATGTTTGAATAGAAAAAATAAGAAAACAAATTAACAATGTGCTCTTTTTTTTAACAATTACGTTGTGGCGGAAAAATCTTCAGTTATGGGAAAAGCCTGATCTTGACCATATAAATTAGACAGGTTGCTCACTCCCAATCGGTACACTCTTTGCAAAATATTAAAAAAATACCCTCTTTTTACATGCAACTAAGGTCATTTCTCCGCTGAAAAACAAATAGACGACATACAAGAAATCTTATGTATGTTTCATTCTACTTGAATAAAAAGCTGGTATGTCAGTGTAAAAGCGAGTACCATGGAAAAAACAAGAAATGTTGAACTATGTCTTTCTTTAAGGAATTTTTAAAATTCGTTCAATACCTTGGCAATTTAACAATTTAATTACTACACAAAAGTCGAGAAGGGTTTTCGCCCAACCCACCACCGCCTCAGCATGAAAATTGTTGGCGAAATGAAACCCCAAGATTTTACATTGTTATAACATGTAGTTTAATTTTAAATTATCTACGTAAAAATATAAAATAAATAAGTCCCAAAAATAAATTCATTTTAAAATAAACATAACTACACTTTAACTTTCGGTTTCTTAGCGGAAAAGGGTTACCTTTTCTATTATTTTTCCCTATCAAAGTACCCGCCTTTCATTTTCGTTTTTTAGAAAAAACCGGTACCCTCTTAAAGCATGTTATATAATAATATAAGTAAATCAAATATTGATTCTTTTTATCACATTTTGCGTTGTCTAGAAACCGGACTAAAAATTGAGAATTCGGACAAAGAACCCCATTACAATTAAAAAATACCCAATACTGAAACGAAAAAGGAAAAGGCTATTAAAATTTGTTACTAGACATGTGAAGTCGGTAAGCTTTTAAATCTATAAAAAAATGGCCATTTTATAACGGGTTGTCCCCAATTCTCGAAAAGCAGAGGGGTTCTAATCGCGATTTGTTTTTACTTTTAAAATCTAACAATTTTTAGTCTCAATATTTTGGACGCCAAGACCGACCGATGAACACAAGGCCCAATAATTAAAATAGATGTCTGTTATATAAATACAAATTCCTGGTTTAAAACAATTTTTTTGGCCAACCACTCGGATGTCAGTAGGGTCCCCTTGCATTTTCAACAAATTCGTGACGATCTATACCTGGCAATAAGGCTGTAAACTATCTCCAATAGTTGAAACCTTCCAATTTTCCAAAAATAACCCTTCATCGGGTTTTCGAGATTTGAAGGATTTACCAATCGATTGGCGCCCTTAGAGTCCTCTTACTTTTCGGGAATTTGTTATAAAACACCGGTACACTCTCTTAAGCATTATATTAATAATATAAGTAATATCAAATATTGACTTTTTTATCATATTTTGCGTTGTAGAAACCGGACTAAAGAATCTAGCCTAGGCTTAGAGCCCTCTACTTTTCGGGAATGTGTTATAAAAATATCATTTTAATAAAACTACCGACATTTTATATTATGGAAAAAACGAGGAAAGATTGTGACTGTGTCATACAATTTTATTTAGTTCTCTGTCGCATACTCAATTCTATCTTTTCCTTTTTTACTACGAAAATTGATAAAAAAGTTAAGAATGTTATGTTAACTTAATTATACCGTGCTTGAAAGGGAAAATCAAGCAAGAGGTTTTACCCTTGCCGCTGAGAACAACCGAAATATCACAGCACTTTTTTAAACCCTGAAATTGACTGAAAAAGAAATTAAGCGATTCTAATGATAATGCCTAATTTCGGATCGGTGGCAATTGCATTACTGCCATTTTTCAGCTCATTTATAATAATTAAAAACGAATTTAACATCATACTGATAAAGTTTTAATAAAGATGAACTCGTTTCCTTAATAACGTATGCTTCAAAACATTTTGTTTGTTAATGACATGAACGATAGAGTTATGCAGTAAGTCATCACTCATTACTCGAAGGGCGGCATTTAGTTTCCAAATAATATATGCAAACTTACCACAAAAATTTTTTTCAAAGGGCAAACGGCATCTTAGGGGGTGAAATTTATTAAAGCTTCATGTTTTGGGTACACCAAACTACCAAAAACCCCGGGATTCAAGGGGGCAAATTTTTCTAGAACTTGGGCTGACCCCCCAATTCATCCTCATAACTTTATTTTCCATTTAATTTCTTTTTGCCGTTTTTTAAGTATTTAAAATTAAAACACATATTTAATGTTTTTAATTTTAAGTTTTGTAAAACAAAAACTTCCCAAAAAAGCCTCGAATCTTAGTAAACACCGGGGGAAAAATCAAATGACTTTTACAAAATTCTGCAATAATTTAAAAAGGGAGAAAAAAAAAACCCGTTTTTTTTAATTCAAACAAAAATTGCAATTTTAATGAAAATTTTAAAACCCACCAAAAAGGTCATGGGGTTTGTAGTTGTAAAAATTTAATTTTTAGAACTAACGTTCATTATAAAAATTATTAATGGGTAAATTGTAATAAGTTATGTGAACTAACGAAAATTTTCTCCGCCGAAAATTAATATTCCCCAAATAAAAGAATTAGGATTTACCAAGAGGTTTGTTACCATAAAGTATTATGCTGCTTATGACCATTTGAAAAATATATGGCCTTCCTTAAAATTACATCATTTCAAGATGTACATCCGAATGTACCAGTACAGACCTCCGAAGAGTACTGGTATCTAAATAACTGACAGTTGAGCAGTCATATAAATATGCTAGCGGCCGCTTGAATGTCGTATATGACACTACAATAAAGATGGACACAATTTGACAAGTGTGCTATTGTGTCTATCTTTGAAACGGACAAAAGACCTCACTTTTTCGAATGTTAAAGCGGACAATTCTAGGCCTGGACACGAAAAACGTCGTATCAAAAAATACAGGTATTAAAAAACGCCGTCCAATCATATTTACATTTGTTGTTAACCGAAAAATATACCTTTTAAAGTTGTCAAAATGCTTTTGATTGTGTGCATCTGACAAATGCGATGTCGACGCCTGTACAAAAATTACTATTATACTGCCATGAATTATAGTAAGTAGAATAGAGAAATAAAGAATCCCTAAAGAAAGTTCAACACGACAAAATTGAAAATGTTGCTTCGCTCGGTTTTGATTGAGCCTGTTCATGGACGGTATGGAAAGTGCAAGTTTACCGTCCACCCACCCCCCTAGCACCAGCTTAAGCAGAATTCAATATTTAACACGAAAATAAAAGTGAAAATTTTGAATTAGAAACATCCTAGGTGTGTTCATACGGCATTTATCATGGAACGTTAATAGACCTAGTAAGACCCATTCCATAAAACCCGTTTATTAATTCCCCCAAATAGAAAAAGCTTGCTCCCAAAACCCAAGAAAACCCAATGGGTGGGAACTAAATCAAAAGCTAATTTGAAAGGGGATCTGAAGGGTTATAAGCCTGACCACTATCACAAATTTATGACGTCAAAAAGGGGGCCACATTTAACAAAAGCAGGCAACATATCCTAAGGAAGATTAAACAGTATTCAAGTAGGAATACTGGAACCACCCAAGTTGAAAAAAGCCAAACAGAAGCCTATGCAGCCTACAAAAAGGTAGAAAAATGCATTGTGTAATATGAAGTATGCAAATTAATAAACCCAATACAAATACTTCATTAACAGAGCTATCTATTTTATATGCACAATACTTATACACAGAATAGTACATTTGTCTGTTAATTGTATTTTCAAAGGTACCCAGCCATTCTTCTAATGTTGAGTTTTTTTACGTACTAGTATATAATATAATAGATTGTTAAACAAGCGCTGATTGGCGTAATTTATCTGGTATATCTGCTAGTTATGGGGCCGTCACACCTTGACGTTCTGGTCAGCGTACTATTACGTTTAAGAAACCGTTTTGAGTCGCCAATAGTTGCTCGGAAAACGCCAGAAAAAAAACGCGGTGTGAACGCCAGCGCCAGTGAACGTCAGTAGTCGCCGGGAATCGGCGTAGATCGCTGGTCCGGAAAAAAAATTTGAACATTCACAAATTTCTCACTCAGACCAGCGTTCTTCCACGATTAAATTCCAAACACTGAAGAACGTTTAAGAACGTTCATGGAACGTTTTATTGACTTTCGCAGAGCGTTGCACACGTTCGGCTATTGTTAGTCAGTTTTTACTCAATTGCAGTGAGCGACTTACTGGCGACCTGTCAACAACCGTTGAACGGTCTTCAAGCCAAGCACACAAAACCTGTTACTAAAAGTAAACGAACTTCTTTTTGGCGTCCATTAAGCGTCATTTGCGCGTCATTCGACCGTTTCACGAACGTTTATGCATATGTTAAAAACAGGGTTGGGCTATCCTTGAGTATGCCTACAATGGAAGATCCTGAAAGATTAAGTATGCTATATATGTTTGCTATGGCAAAGCATCAAGTAGATGTACTACACTTAAACTTATCTGAACATATCGAGGGAATTCATTCTCAAAGAAGACCCCGATATTCATCCACAGAGAAGAAGACCCCGACGAAGACGACAGTGTTGGACTGTATCATGAATATAAAGACGTGAAGGATTTGGAAATACACAATGTAGCTAGTAGGAAAAGCCCTCATCCCAATCTACTTTTTGGCGACATAATGCTGAATTTACAAACTCACAAGAACAACCGAATTCACTAAGAAA